TAGCTCTTTATCTGTTTCTCTCTCCCTCTGTGCTTCGGTCTCTATTCGTTCCTTCCTTTGTCTTCCCAGCATTGGGAGCTGCCCTCAAGACGCTGATCGCCATTGTGTTCATCGCTGGCCTGTCCATCCTCCTCAGGATGGTGTTGAACGGAGACATCATCTTCCATGCCGGCGTCCTCATGAAGAAGACAACCAACGCCATCTGGTTCCTCAACCTGGCCATGACCGACGTGATCTTCCCCTGCATCCTGTCCTTCCGGATGGGCTGTGCATGGCCAAGCAGCCATGACCTCTTCAGCAGGTGGCTACGTGAGCTGAGCAGCGTCGTCACCTCCCTCCACATGTCCTCCAGCACCTTCCTTCTGATGGTCATCAACACTAACCACTGCCTTACCCTGGCCTGCCCCAGGTGGGCCAGGAATCTCCGCACGTCCTGCCTGGCTTCCTGTTCTGGGCATCTGCCCTTGGGGTACAACCGTGATGCACTAATCTGATGTGGTGATCCCAGTTTCATTTAGTTACTTCTATTATGAAAGCCAGGTCTCAGTGGGGGGGGGAATGTGAAATCAAGCGCTGTTATTTATCAATTCCTGGTTGGGTTCCCGGTCCCATTACCTTTCATCATCACTGGCTATGTCATTCTAGCTGCCAAGTTGAGGGGATAAAGCTGGTGTGCTTATGCCACCAAGCTCCACCTTGCCTTGGCCTTGACTTTTGTCTTAGCTGGACCCTGTGCCATGTCTTCTACTTCCTTCAGCTCTTTGTTCAAGCATCACCTCTAGAGAAACGAGGGTCCTTAGCCAGTGGCAGTGTCTTTGCTTATGGCCTGGTCTCTTTGAAGACCTGTCGGATTCCACTGTTTTGCCTCTGCTTGGGCCGGGAATTCAGAGCACAACGGAGATGCCCCCAACCAAATGGATGTTAGATTGGAATTGGAACCAGTGCAATAGGGGAGTGAATGGATTCCCAGGGGAAAACCGAGAATTTGTTTAGTTGCTTGATGCTTTTGGTATGAACAGATTTGCTGCAGGAAAACAGACTTTTCGCAGAAATAAAAACGAATTCATTTCCCCTCTACATTAACCACTTGCTGTGTTGCAAGTTTTCATGATTTTTTCGTGACTCTCATGGTATTTGACTTAAAGCCCCAGCTCCTACAAATATTATAAGAGAGTTTTAGCAGCTTTCATTAAGAAAATAAGGACGTTACTAGTCCTTTTGGTGAAAAGATCAAAAATGTGACCCAGAACGGAGCAGGACCAGAAGATACATAAAGAGAGCTCTGATTTATTACTATTTTTCTTAACTGCAAGATTTTAAGCAAATCCCATTCTTTTTGGGGCCTGTCCCATGGCCTTTGAACATTTGGTTTTGGCCGTACTGCCCTTCTCAAATACTTGAAGGGAAACTGTAAACCAGAATGTCTGACTTACCAGGGAATCTTTGTCTTTAGTTTTTTGGTCTCTCTTTGTTCTTTTGTCTCCACTAGAGCAGTTTGGAAAGTAGAATTTTTATTTTTATTCCACTGGGGGGCGGTCAGCTTCATAAAGTAGTGAAGGGTACAAAGAAAGCCAACTAGACCCCACTCCCCTCCCAGAGCTGGGGATAGAACCCAGGAATCACTAGGGAGGGTTTGGGTGATTGATCGGCACTTTGGAATGAATGAGATTTCCATCGGGGAATGGCCTTTTAACAGAAATGGAATAGTTTGTGTCACTAATTAGCCTGTTTTTCTAAATGCCCCATGTGGTGCGATGCCAATGCTGACAATTTCATCGAGTCACGAAATTTTGAATGTTTGTCTTAAAGCCCCAGCACCTGCCGATTAGGCAAAAACAACAAGTAAGTCTCTAGCACTCAAGCTATGGAGAAAAGAATAAAAAAAACGGACCCCACCATGCTCCTCAATGCTCAGAAATGTGAGGGCAAGTTCAAAATATCTGCCAAACGTATAGACTTTAAAGTAACCTCGTGAATTTTAACCTGATCTTATGATGTTTTTCCACTTGACTTATGGTTTTTGAAAATTCAAAACGGCCCACTGTGTTTGTCAAAAAAAAATTTCATGGAAACTGTAAAGAAAAATATTCAGCCTCTTTGTTTGATGCAGAGTTTTTACATTTTGTTTCTGTTTTCTCTTTGCTAGTGCTGTTGGTAGAGCAGAAGTTTTGTTTCATATGAAAGTTTAGAATTAATTTCCATTGCACTCGGGGAGGAAAGGAGAGGAGAGGAGAGGAGAGAGGGGTGTAGTAGTGCAGTGGGTTAGAGCAGGGGAGCAGGGACCCAGGACTCCTGGGTTCTATCCCTAGTTTGGGGAGGGGAGTGGGGTCTAGTGGTTATAGCAGGGGCGGTCTGGGACCCAGGACTCCTGGGTTCTATCTGTAATGCTGGGAGGGCAGTGGGGTCTAGTGAGTTAAAGCAGCAGGGTCATGATAAAAAGTAAACAAGGAACTGAGAATGATGCTGGATGAGAAGCTGTGTGACTCCTTTGTTAGCAACAATGACATGGTAAAATGACAGTCCCAAGGCTGCTCAAAATCCGAGTCCCCAATCCCGTCTCCTCCTTCTTCTTCCCATGACCCACCAAGCTTCCCAGCCTGCCCAGAGCATCAGGTGCCAGGGCTGTCGGGGGAGACCCACCCTGGGGATCTATGGGTAAGGAAAGGCTCTGATCCCTCCAGTGGAACCCCGGGTCCCTCCCGACTCCCCTCCCCAGGTAGGGTCCCTCTTGTGAAGAGTCCCCCAATACCCCAGCCTGCCCTCGACGGAGCCGGTGGATCCCTCCAGTGGCTGACGGGGCCGTGGCTCTGTAGAGGGTACGGTTGCGGTGGAACCCGATTCATGGAAGATTTGGAATGCACCAATCGGCCATGGGGGAGTA